GAAAAGAACAATCTCATATGCAAGTCGTTCAGTATCTTGTGCACGTTTAAAGGAGTGATACTTGTGATCTGAAGGCCATGTGCAATATATAGTCAAACCTGTTTTCAGCAACCACTCAGAGGCCTGGCCCAAAGTGGCCTTTATATAAGGGTGGCCTCTGATAGGGGTTCATTGGTGTATGTAGAATGTCTAAGTATAAAAGTTTATAGAAAAATACAATGCATATACAAACCCATAAATCTAACTCGTTTTAATAAATCAATTACAAAATACAAATTGTTATCCTTTCCTGCGGCCAAAAATTTCAACTGGCCCATGTGCAGACTCCTGCCAGAATACCAGCGCTGACCAATGTCATGCTGAGCAGCCAACCGGACGAGATCTGACCACTCAAAAGAGTGTCTGTACACTGACAGGGCTAAAAAAGAGTGGCCACTTGTTGCATTAGTTAGGTGGTTGCTGAATAGAAGTGGTTTATTATGGAAAATCTTTCAGGACTGTTCCAGGGTGATTGTTGACAACATGTGGTTGAACAGAGTTGGTTACATTAACAGGTTTGACTGTACATAAAATGCCTGTTGATGGTTTGGGTGTGACTCTTTGTCAGATTTTGAGCTACACAACCAGGTTACACTCCAAATTTTAACCTGTTCTTTCCCTTCAACCAATACTGTGCAATTCTGTTGTATCAGATCTCCAACACTCACAGTTTTCTTATATCACTGCTCTCAACAAGCATGTTGAATATCACAGGACTGTATTTAATGCTGGGTTTATCCTGTACGTTTAGCGATGAATTGCTGCAGTTTGTTTGGAGGGAAAAGGGATCTGGAAGCTGGTGTTCTGCACTTTATAAAAAGAACTGGCTGCTAGATTAAGTCTGATTTTTAAGAATTTTCAACAATTCTACACAATCTTAAATTTTAAAGACAAAATGATCTTACAAGCCAAACCCAGGTCGATTTTAAAGATTTGTTTGTAAGCATAAAACACAACAGCGTTTGTATTACAATACTCACGTCCTTCCAATAATATAACTAATCCTTGTGTTTCATGTAGCACCTTATTACATTGTCGAAACATCTCACAGCATTTCCCAGGATATACTGTAAAGTGGATTGCCTAGGTATTATCTGGATGAAAATGCTGCAGTCAGTTTTTACACACAAACAGCCATGGAATGGGTGACCAATTTTATTTTGGGGATTTGTTGACCAGGAAACCATGAGAAACTCCCTTCTCTTTGTGAATAGTGCCAGGGGATCCTTAACGTCCACCTGAACAGGCAGACAGGACCTCGGTTTAACGTTTTATCTGTAGGACGACAGCTCTGACACTGCAACACATCCCCAGCACTAAATTGGATTGTCAGTTTAGACTATATGATTTCAAGTCCCGATGTGGGGCTTGAACCCACAACCTTCTGACTTAGAGGTGAGAGTGCTATCGTTGAACCAGGCTGGCACACAATTTATGTCAGCAATTTGTTATTGTTGTTATTTTATCTCTTGTGCTTAATGGTATTGTGATGGTAGTGGAGTCCTGTAGCTCAGTGGTTAGAGCACTCGGTTTGCAAGTGAGAGACCCGAGTTCAATTCCAGGCAGGTCAGGACGAAACCTTGGGCAAGTTTCCTGACTCCACACAGAGCCTAATAATAATCCCTCCAAAACCAATAATAAAAATTGGTCATTTTCATTCTACGACTGTTTGTGGGACATTGCTGTGCGCAATTGGCTGCCGCGTTCGCCCACAAATATATTGTCAATTCACTTTACAGTGTGTTCTGTGAAGCGCTTTGGGATGTCCTCCTACATGAAAAGCGCTATATCAAATGCAAGGATTATTATTATATTATTATTATTATGACAGTGACAAAGAGCCGTTCCCCACATCCTATCTTCGTTATACCTTTGTGTTTAGTAAACACTATGCCTCTTCAAAATGCATCTTTGTTTCTTCACTTGTTCGCTAAGCACACTATAATTTAATAGCTAACTGTACAAACTGTGTTATCGAATGACATAGCTGGCAAGCACTCTGGCTGCTTTTCAGCACTTTGTTTATTTTCAGTGCTGAGTTGATTCATCTCTGTAGAGGTGGCTGTATGGATACTGCAATTAACTTCACACTCCTGGGCGAGGGAGGGACACAAGGGGTCATATTTCTGATCACTATCCAGCGATCTGTGCTGGAAAGTACACATAAAGGACATCATAGGTCTGATATTCCTCATGGTTTTACCATTTTGGAAAATTCTTAAATTCAGTCCTAGTGTTTTGGAAGCTGCCTTTATTTTAAAAAACAAGCTTCCAAGTTAAGAGTGATACAGTATTAAGAATTTTCCAAAATGCTGCATAAACTTGAATTTTAAGACACCAACTAGTCTGAAATTTCCGGCCTCCAGTGAGGCCAGGAGTGGCCTTGACTCGGATGCTCCAGTACTATGACTTGGAACCAATATAGTCTAAGAGATTCTTTAAAATCAATCGGACCTCAGCACCCCCAGAACAAAATTCATGTAGCTTTAAATATGACTTTTAGTTTCGCAGCAACTTCCTCTTTAGTGTTATGTTGCTTGTTAGATATCTAAGAGGAATGTTCAATTGCAAAATAAACATGAGAAACATAAACATTCACAAAAATCTAGGGTGTGCCAGCCTTGTTTTAAATATTATGGATCCGCCCAGTCCAGCTGACCTACATATAAATCTGTTGACGCCACTTGATGTGAAACCTGTTTTCTTGTATTGAAACCCTATTTTGTGATGGAAAATGTAATTGTGTTTCCAGTTTAGTAGCTTCACCATGCAACCTAATCATCACTGCAAACACTGTCACCATAGAGGCAGCGAAGGGTGGTGAATCTCAAAGGAAAAAATAATAATGTAATAGCTTTACATTGACATTAGTGCTTCAATATAATTTTGTCACAGGGTATTCCTCATCAGCAAATAAAAGAAACCTTCCAGATGAGAAAAATCAAAAAAACCTAACCCGATAATCCCTCAATGTTTTACTTGCACCACAAGATACCCATTTTGTTTATTTTCAGTGTCACCATTGCACTTTCTCAGCCAAATGTTAAGAAGAGAAAATTTGAGTTTTAATGACCTGTTTCATGCATTGATGCAAGGGTGGTTAACACATGAAACAAGTCACACAGGCAGAAGCAGATAGTGTGAGTGGAGGAGAGGAAGTTTTAAGAAGAAGTCAGAAGGATATTTGATGGCAAATGGGATTGGTGGGTATGTGAGAAAATGACTGATGGTGTTTGAAAATGAGACTAAATGAGAGTGTAATTGTCTTTTCTCACAACTCTTGTATTCCTAATATAAATGAAGGTTTATGGAGGTTTATCAGTTAAACCTCTGTTTACTAGCTCACTAGTTAATTAAGGAACCTGATCAGATTGGTAGGAAGAGGGAAAGTCAAAGCACTTCACAAGTAATTACTGTCCACAAGTGCCGTTGTGAGCAAAAGTCACCTACTTCGTACATCGGAAAGTCCCACAAATAGCCATGAAATGATTAAATGGTTCATCTGGCGGGCTGTTAAAGTACATTGGCAGCAAATTGACACAATTAACATTCATGATATTTTATGACAAACGTGTTGAACATGTAACTTTAGGGCAAATCATAATTGTACAGATGGTTCTTATAATGTCACAGGGATGTACAGTCACAAAGTAGGGAGGAACAGAAGGAGGGAGGATTGCTACAGCCGCACCTCACATTGTTGAGCTTTAAAATAGTATTGGGAGAAGGTCTTGCACATGATCCTCCTACACAGCACAGAAGGAGGCCATTTGGCCCATCTTGTTTGTTCCGGCTCTTTGAAAAGAAAGGATAATATGAGGTCTACTTGTGTTGGGAATCTCATTCTCAAAAACTTTCAGTACCTATATATTTAAATTGTTATATATTTAGATTGTTTTGCTGATAAAAAAAATAAGGCTTTCAATACCCAACTTCCAATGCCCAGGCTATTTGAGATTATAATCAACACAGCAAAGACAGATGGAAGAGTAAGCTTATCGGTGAATCTTTTCAGTTTTTATTAAATATAATATTCTGGTCATTGCCAGCTTCGAATAAACTCAGCAATCAGATAATCCAGAAGCTTATGATTTCTACTGTATCATGATTTGAATAATGAAATAGTTTTAAAGTGATGGTTACATTTGGGTTGGAATTCTGTTATGTTACTAGAGCGAGAAACTAATGGTAACTGCTGACTTGATCAGGAGTCGTCATTTTTTGCAGTAGCTGGCAGCTTTATAAACGATGTAGCAGCACCCCTCGGTGGACTATAAAATATTGCATTACTTACCTGAGGAATTATGAGTTGTACTGTACTAGTGGAATGTGTTATTTCTCTTTAAAGAATATAGTGTAGCAGTGAGCTGTTGCACTATATTCAGTAGTTTTTCAACTATTGAATATGTCAGAAATATGTACAAAAATGCAAAATGTTTTATTGTCACATTGCACATTTTCACATCAAGGTGAATGACATGCTAGTGCAAAAGAGGGCACTCTTCTGAGATTAGTGCTGAGGCACATTGTTGGGGTTGGAGTAGAGGGTGTTTCGCTCTGCCTCAAGCTACACTATATATGGTCTACAAGTGCTAAAACTTGTCACAACGCAAAGGGTTTATTTCCCAGCACTGGCATCCCTCATCTTGATGAATACACAGGTCATTCCTCTCCAAACTGCCTGCAGTTATAACCACCATTTAAAAAACTATAATAGAAAGTTATTCTGTGTAAATGCAGTAAGATCAAATTTATACATAAATACTGGAAAATAACTGGAGAATAAAAGGTTCAGATCAAGTTCCTGAATCTTTTGTGGTTTCTGATTTCTTTGAGTTTGCGCTTATGGTTTACAATATTCTTCACTAAACTTTCCTTGGTAGGTTGTCATGCTCAGAAATGTGGTGTAGCGATATTAGAGAATAAACTTGGCATTGACTCTATTCAATCTGTCTTCACAGAAGTTTATATCAGGTGAGCTGCGACTGAGAATGACAACATGGTAAGTTACCATTTGTATTTTAACTGTTGTTGGGAAAGCAATCCAGTGTTTTTTAGTTTAAATAGCAAAATGATTTATGTTCTTGTCTAATCGGAAATTTCAATATTTATTTTCCCCTCTTTTACTGATAACAACGATTTTGTGATTGTAGCGCAACACTGAGCAGCAGTTGTCTTTACAATCTCTACACTGCAAATCTCAGTGTACAGTACTTATACCAATGCTTGTAGCATGTTAATGGATATGCCAGAGGTGATTTCTGGAGCAAGTTCTTAACAGCTGCAGAGCAATGCGCAGAGGAGTGCCTGATTTTATAATTAATGCTCCAAGGGCTCATAGACTTATTTTAACTATTTTACTCCCGGGGGAAAAGTTCTGCATAGATATTTATTCCCTGGTGTCCAAAGGTGGTTTAGTTAAACTTCAGAATATTCAACCATCAGGGACATTATTTAACCCTACCCTTTCTTCCAAAGACAGAAAAACTCTCCCCTTCCCTAGTCCTTGCAATATAGAAGTTACTTTTGGAAGTTTTACTTTTCCATCTCTGCTCTCAAGCAGATACCTATCTACTTTTTTGAAGGAGGTGATCAACATAGCAATAAATTACTTCTGTTTTGAATGGAAAAATCACTGCATAATCCATCGTCAATGCATATTATTGAGCTAGTGAATGCATGGATTACTGAGATTTGCCTTGTAGAGAATGCACATTCTGTAGAATGCAATTCCGTAACATTGAGAAACACAAAAGCCAAACGCTTTATTTTGTGCATTTTATTTGACTCTAAAAGATTGACTGAACTTTTGCTTACCCTTTCTTTTTAACCTAGAGCCTCATCATGAATAGTGACACTGAGGTAATTCGCCCTGGGAAGGGAGAGCCCCTCTCCAGCATGCTAACCCTGGCCGATGCAGATGATGGAGGGGTTATCATCAGGGACATTAAGCAGGACTCTGACATTGCAAAAGCTAGTACTTTGAAGAAAGGTAATTAACATTTGCTTTTTAATGCATGAATGTTAGTGTTGATATTCCTGGGATGAGACAATTGCATAGAATTCCAATATTTCTTTTTTTGCCTGTCTCTCCACTAATTGATTCTCTTCTCCCAGCCTGAATCAATTGATAGCCCTGGATTAAAGCCTTCCATTAGGCCTTGAGATTCATAGTCTGGCTGGGACTCCAGTGTGGTGCTGGGGGTGTTCTGCATTGTTGCAGGTGCTGTCCTTCGGATAAAACTTTAAACTGAGGTCCCGTCTGCCTGTTTAAAGGGACTTCAAAGATCTCACAGCACTATTCAAAAAGAGAAGGGAGTTTCTCCCAATATCCTGACCAACAATTCCCCAAATAATATTGGTCATTCACTGCATTGCTGTTTGTGGGAAATTGCTATGTGCAAATAAGCTGCTACAAATGCACAGTCATTCCACTTCACAGTACAATCCTGTGAAGTGCTTTGCGACATCTTGACAAGATGATAATGTGCTATATCAGTTGCAAGGATTATTATTTGATTCTTTTCTTTTCCTTCTACTGGGATATAGTTCTACCGGTTGCAGGTGCCTTTTGAAACCTTGGCCAAACAATCATTATTTCCACCTAAGTATTGGCATACCTTTGACCAATGGGGCAACCCACAACCTAGCCAGATCCTGTCTTCATCCATTGTCTACATGGACACCTTTTATGGCTATCCTTGTTGGGAACCTTAGGTTTTATTTTTATTTCCCTATCAATTCATCAATAATTTTAGTTTTTTTTTACTAGCAAGCTTGTTTCAATCCAGCTCATCAACTTGCCATTCATTCCATGAGTTTTAACTTCTTTAAGTAATGCATCCTTCAGGACAGACCTCAGATTATGTAGCAATTTGGCAGAGTACTCCTCCTCTTTAACAATATGTAAAGTTTTGATACATAAAGTTATATAAATAAAATGTTGAAACAGAACATATTTAGCAACTCTCACAAAGGATATTTCAAAGCACTTTATAGAGCCCGAGTGCAGACCTGCGCAAGATGGGAAATCGAGGTAGTAGGAAAAAGTTGAATGAAGGTTTGGTCAAAGAGGTACATTTTAGAAGGGTTGTGAAAACAGCACAGTTGTAAATGAGCCACATAAAAAGAAATAGCAACTCTCCTAACTTTTACTATATTTTTTAACCATCCTTTAGGTTTTACAACTTCACACAACTTTGTTCAGCAAATTCTAAATGTTGTGACTCAAAATTGTTTATTTTCTAACTTATAGATACGTTATATCTTCCTAAGTTTAGTCCATTAAGAAAATATGTCTAATGATTTTAGCATCCAGAGGTACCTGTACTAAATTGCAGCAGCTTATGTAAGCATATTTATTTAAGTAACAGTTATCTTCATTATCATAGGTGATCATATCTACGGAGCAACAATATATTTTGACAATATGAATAGTGGAGATGTCGCCCAAATACTGAAATATTCTGAATCCTGCAAAGCGGGTTTGAAACTGCATTCAGATGGTGAAATCACATCTCCAGACTCCTTGAAACTTCGAAATTTCAGCCTCAAAAGTCTAGATGCGGTAAAAGAAATAAGTTTTTTTACATTTAGAAAAGTATACTTAGTTTAACAATAACACATTTAGAATTTACACTGTGTACTTACACTGCAAATTATTTCATTTATAGGGGATTGGTGATCAAACTTACACGGATATATACAACAAGAAGATCAAGAAACATCTTAAATTGCCAACACCAAATATTAATGCACAGAATGCTGATCCAAAGGCTATGAAACTTCAAGATCCTGACATTCGTGGTCCTTCCTTTGGAATTCCGAGCTTAAAAGAAAAAGGAGTCGATGCAGAGTTCAAAACTCCAAATGTTGAGATGCCTTCACTCAATTTACGGGGACCCAATATCTCAGGGCCTGATGGTGATTTGGGTTTCAAGGTGCCAAATATAAAAGGTGTTTCTCCAAAACTTGATGGTAATTTCAAAAGTCCTACCATTGATGTGAAGAGTCCTGAGGTTGATCTCAATGTGCCAGATACAAATCTGACGTTCTGGGACAAACTGAAGTTTCCAAAGTTCAAAAAACCAAACCTTGGCATTTCAGAGCCTGATGTGAAGATGCCTGGATTGAGGTTGGATACTGATCTTCCAGAAACGAATATTAAGTTGCCATCTGGAAAGATTAAGGAAGACATGAAATTCCCCAAAGTTGATGTAAAAACACCAGGGCTGGATGTAAAAGCACCAAAGGTAGACTTGAATGATTTAGAGGTTAACGTTCCTAAACCTAAAATCAAAACTTCAACTTTCAAACTGCCTTCACTGAACATTAAACCTTCAAAACCTGATGTTAATCTTAAAACTCCAAAGGTGACCGGTGATGTTGATCTTCCTAAATTCAGCATCAAAAGTCCTAACGTTGATGTGAATAAACCAAACATTGACCTCCATGGTCCAAGTAGCAAAATGAAGATGCCAAATATTGGCTTACCTTCTTTCAACACTCCAGACCTAAACATGAAAAAACCTGATCTGGATTTAGATGGCAAATTAAAAATGCCCAATTTCAAGATGAAGAAAGGCTTAAACATTCCAGATGTGGATATTCAAGGCCAAAAGGGGATTTAGGTATCAATGTTCCAGATGTAAATCTTCAAAGTAAAAAATTCAAAATGCCAACTTTCAATGCACCTGGACGAGACTTATCAGTCCCAGACATCGACGTTAATTTGAAGAAACCAGATATCACAGACAACGTGAATATCTCATTCCCTAAAACTAAAGGTGAATTTCAGGTTCCTGGCATTGATGTGAAAAAACCCAGCTTTGAGGTGAATGATCCAAATATCAATCTTCATGGGCCAAACGTAACACTGCCTAATGTAGATTTTGATGATCGCAAAGCAAAGATAAAAAGCTTGGGGATAAAACTCCCCTCATTCACACCAAACACAAAAGGCATTGATCTCACTGCTCCTAAACTTGAAACTGACTTCAAAGGCCCAAAGTTAGATATAGAGAGTCCAGATCTTGATATCAACACTCCCAAACCTGGAGACATAGCTCTAGGAGGAAATTTCAACATACCCAAATTCACCACGCCAAAATATTCACTCTCAGGACAAAAAGGAAATCTACCTGATGTGGATCTACCAGGTGTGAATATCAAGGGTGATGTGAAACCAAAAGGCATTGACATGAAATCTCCAAAAGGAGATATTGATATCAATATGCCAGGTGCAGAGTTCAAAACTCCAAATGTTGAGATGCCTTCATTCAATTTACGGGGACCCAATATCTCAGGGCCTGATGGTGATTTGGGTTTCAAGGTGCCAAATATAAAAGGTGTTTCTCCAAAACTTGATGGTAATTTCAAAAGTCCTACCATTGATGTGAAGAGTCCTGAGGTTGATCTCAATGTGCCAGATACAAATCTTACGTTCTGGGACAAACTGAAGTTTCCAAAGTTCAAAAAACCAAACCTTGGCATTTCAGAGCCTGATGTGAAGATGCCTGGATTGAGGTTGGATACTGATCTTCCAGAAACGAATATTAAGTTGCCATCCGGAAAGATGAAATTGCCAAAAGTTGATGCAAAAATACCAAAGCTGGATTTGAAAGCACCAAATCTAGATATAAAAGCACCAAAGCTAGATATGAAAACACCAGAGCTGGATTTGAAGACACCAAAGCTAGATGTAAAAACACCAAAGCTAGATATGGACGTGAATGTACCTAAAATCAAAACTCCAACTTTGAAAATCCCTTCACTGAACTTACCTGGAATTAACACTTCAAAACCTGATGTTAACCTTTCTGCTCCTGATCTGAAAGCTGGCTTCAGTGGGCCACAGATAGATGGGGATGGTTTATTTCAAGATATCAACCTTTCAAATGCTGAAGGCAAATTCAAGATTCCAGATGTGTCATCACCATCATTATCAATTCCAGACTATAAAGCAAAAATGCCTGAGATAAATGCAGATCTGAAATCCCCAAAGATTGATATAACACCTAAAGGAAATTTAGAAGGCAAAAGTCAAAAATTTAAAAATTTATTCAAATGGTCCCTTCCAAAAGCATCAGTTCCAGATGTCAATATGGATCTGAATAAACCTGATGTTAATGGTCAGCTCAGTCTTCCTGATCCTAAATTTCAAGGAGCCATCAAAGGACCAAACATAGACTTGGAAGGCAAGAAGTTTGATATGAAGGCTCCATCTGCAGAATTTCAGGGTCCAAAATTTGAAACACCTGAAATGAACTTGTCTCCATTGAAAGCATCATTGCCAGACTTGAACCTTCCTTCACTTGAAAATGCCAGATCAAACATAAAGGGACTTAAAATCGATGGGGACCTGTCAAATCCCAAAGTAAAGGGATCAGATTTCTACGTTAATCTCCCTAAGGCAGGCATCACAATGCCAGATGTAGACATTAACATGAAAGCACCCAAAATCTCAGGACGTGATGAAGAACTGGATTTGAAAAGTCCCCAAGTAAAGGGAAACATTGATCTTCCTGAACCATCGATTAAAGGTGGAGTCAAGCTGCCCACTTTTAATGCTAATGTTCCAGGTGCTGGAGTAGATGTGAAGTCCTCAGATCTTAAATTTAATGATCCCAGTTTAAGTCGAATTTCTGGCGGAACATTTAAAGTCAGATCAGCCTCAGTATCTGACCTTGATGAGCCAACTAATGGGTCAACAAATGGTTTAAATTTAAAAGCCCAATCTTCCAGCACTCTGAATATTAATGGTGATACAAAAAGTAAGAAATCTAGATTCAAACTTCCTTCCCTTGGTTACAAATCACGGGGGTCAGTGGATCTGAATAAAGCTCAAGTTGAATCTTCCAAATCTTTTGGATCTCGATTCAATTTACCAGAACTTGAGTTTTCATTGACCCCAACCAGTTAGAACCCAAGATTTGTTTCAGTGGTAAATAAGCAACTACTTCACATCGATCCTTTTCAATGTATTGAAAACATTTATTTTCATAGATTTGTATTCCAATGTAATCTTACTGTTTGTATGGCCTGGTTTAGTGTAGCGTTCAGATGTGGGTTTTTTTAAAAAAAGAAAATGATCAGGAATTGTAATCTGTAAATATAAGCCTTAATATACCCTGTTATTTCGATACTAATTGTTTTGTAATGTGTATTCTTTATGAAATATTGACAAGGGCACCATTGGTATAAGATAGTTAAATGTTTCATGCCGTGATTTTTTTTTGGTGATGTAATAATGGAGTATCCTTTTTGTAAGGTGTAGGATTTTAAAGGGATACAATGATCAGATTAGAGAGTTTTGTCAACATGCTGTGTGTGGATTTGAACTGTACCATAAATGCTGACACATTTGCATTGAAATAGTTGCTCAATCTCCTTCAGTGCAATCTTTCTGACTACTTTGAACTTGTATGCAAATCCAATATGTACAAATCTAGGTTGTACATTAACTCAAATTTCTCAAGTCCTAATTTGTGTGCTTCATTAGAGTTTCCCGAACTAAAATTTGCCTACATTGTGTGCAAGTCCGGTTATAAGCAATTTGCTGCTGTCCAGTCTGACTGTCATATTATCACTTTCATGAAATAGAAGAAAATAGTTACATGTTTTAAATTGTTTATTGAATACATTAAATATTATGATTATTTGATGAGTTTACAGTTTAACTGTTGAGCTAGGACTTTGTTGGTTAGTTACAAAGTGTAGATACTTCAGAAATGCATTTTAAAAAGAACTTTGCTTTCTGTGTCTATGAATGTATATGTGATGGTATCACTTGCAACAATCAGAATCCACATGGCAGTACATTTTTTTTTCTAACTAACTGGAGAGAGAATTTAAGGAACTTAAAACAAATATATCACAGATCAAAACCTCAGCCAATATTATAACAGATAGAGTTTGTAAAAAAATGTATCCACATACATGTCACAATGCTACACCTACTATTGGATCACGCCTAGGTGGTGAAGATGTGAATCTGCAGCATCAGTGCCTAACTTCCTGCTATTTGTACAACAGGACTTATAATTGCTGTGTCCAAGAAGGGATGCAACAACATTAGGTAACATCATTATATTGGATCTTATGTCTTTATTGAACTCAAGCTATTCTTACCTTGGCAATTACGTGGAAACCTCCAACTAAATATTTGCATAAAAGTGGAAATACTACACAGGATTTTAAAATGATTTTGTATGATTTGAGGTAAGATAGTCCAGACATTTGGTTATATCAGAGTAGCATATATAAGGATTTAGAATGATGCTAATTTTGGGGGATTTCAGTACGTACAATATTGAATTATGGTTTTGACAATTTATAATATCTTCACAAAGAGACAATACTGAGATTTTAAAAAAACTTGTGATGGTCTTACAAGTGTTAAACAATTGCTTTTATGCTAAGCAGGAATTATACTTATGTCTTCTATCAAGTGACGTGTGAAATTGTTATTCTTTTATGTCAATGTAATCCTATGCTCCTATGTGCCAATACAAATTATCTAATTTTAATGAAGTAGCCTTTCAGATAATATATTTATAGAAAATATGACAATGCATTGATTAAAATACATATCCGTGTATTAACACTTAGGCTCCATATTTAATGAAGGACATTATCTATTTTCTCCCATGTAAATACAATACACAGTATATATTATATATAAATAAAAGCATGTTTCACTTCCACAAACTGTGTTCATAATTCATTCACTTACAATTTTGTGGAAATTCGTTTGAATGGAAATACCCAATGCATCACCAGCAATAAAGTATATAGGCACCAGCCTGGTTCATTTGGCAACCCTCTCACCTCTGGATCATATGGTTGCAAACTTTGGTACTTCAAGCTCATAGGCAGATACTCAGGCACAGTTCTATGGGGACTGCATTGTAGGAAGTGCTGATCCTTGAATGAGATGTTAAACCAAGGCCCGACTGCCTAATCAAGTGGCCATTAAATATCCCCTTGCGCTATTGAAAAAGAGAAATTTCTCTCACTGTCGTTATCTATTCTCCAGATTTAAAAAAAAGTTTGAATATTTTTTGATTTATGCCATAAATCAAGAAATAAACCATAAAACAATGATTTGTGCGATAAATCAATAAATATTCAATCAAGAAACATTTATTGTGTTGGCCACCCAAAAAGACTAACCATCACTGTTACAAACTAACCAATCAGGAGAGATCTGAGTTGATATAGAATTAGTCTTTCACAGTCAACTTTCACACATGAAGTAAATAATACATCACTCGTGCAAGATCCTAGGACTATTTATTTGTGCAACACAAAATCAAAAAATCTTTCAGATTTTCAATAGACTATTTGATGTCAGGAAGTATACACCTCAAAGTTGTCCAGAGATCCACATCAATGACCTTGTTTTAAATCATAAAGTGTATCTCTAAGTTTGATTTGTATTGATCTGAATTGAAGTTCTTATTCAGTACAATTACATAAGGTGAGTGATTGAAGCAATATTGCAGGATTTACAGTTGAAAAACATTAATTTTATAATGTCTACTAAAACATTGCTCCCGTTATTCAAACTAACAGACACAAACAAAAAAACAAAAAGGTTTGAATGATCACCAAAAGAAGCAGCTTTTCCCTTTTGAGTTTATTTCAATACACAGACTTCCCCCACACCTCTAATCACAGGACTCATCAGCAAAAGCAATGACTAATTTCATAAGTTTCAAAGAGGCAATGAAAAGCAGTCATGCTTACTTAAAGCCGTAATAGTTCTAACATAAAGGGAAACATTTAATGCATAAATCCCAAAATACAGTAATTATTTTCAACAATTTTAGAATGTATTGGATCATTTGAAATCAAAATCTCAGTTAAATACAGTGTAATGGACACAAATATAGTAAGGCTGATAAAGGACTTGGCATAAAGTGAAAAAACTTGTTCAACGAGCATTCAGATTTGCTTTATGAAGATCCATTCATAAAGTTGCACCTAACTTTATTGCAGTACAAAGACATACAATTCTCTTCACTGCAAAAAGAGAAACCTGGTTTGCCAAACAGTCTTTCATGAAGATGATACCCTTTGATGCCGTGATCATTCTCATCTGAGTTAGACCATTTTGTTGAGAAGCTATGATTATTACACTGAGTATTATTGTAACAGGTGATCAGGTGAAGGTATAATAAAAATGAAAATAGTTTTGATTTACTATAAGCAAGTAAAGATATTATGCACCATTAGGTACACCTGTTATTTAATTTAGTATGCTTGCTATCTTCACTGTGGAAAAATATTGCCCAATATTTGACCTGAGACGTTCCCTCTACAGTCAAAGGGTGTTTGTGCACTAAACCTACCCAGTTCAGCTTCAAACTGTGCAAATTCATCAATCGAGTTTCGACCAAAGCAAAAATATTCAAGTTCTGCTAGATTTAGTGTGTGGGTTCCATTACAATACTGGATCCCAGCCGATGCATTTTAGTTACTTTTGCTCAGCTTTATTTAGGAGCAATGAAGAAAAAGGAGGAGCACATTCAGCCTGTTTCACCATTTTATTTGATCATTGCAGACCTTTTCATCCTTTTTCCACCTGTTTCTCTAAATCCCTTAATAACACTACTTTACAATATTTATCTAGCTACCTTTTAAACATTGCATTTTCAGCAAAATACATCTAATTTTAGCAAAAAACAATGGAAAGTAAATAAAGGTTCTGCACAATGATGAAATCGTATAGTAGTGCTAATGTCAACATTTATAGTACATTCCACAAAGTTACATCCAACTGTGCTTTTTGGGTTGTTGCTGAAATTAGAAAACCTTTTTGGAATCAAGAAAATCATCAGGGGTGAACAACTCTTCCATGAATTGATCAGTCCAACCACTTCCACGTTCAACACCAAAAGGGTTCAGGCCAGTTTGCCTCATTCAGAATGTTAAGTATTGGTGCATAATTTACGAGGCTTCAGTATGCAGCATTTATACCTAGAGTAAGAAGCACCACTGAAATATTGGTACTGCTTACCTATGCTCTTAAAACATTGTTGCTAACATTTAATTGAGGGACAGAATACCAAGTAAGGTCTTCCTTGAGGGCCACTTTTACCCCCTCATAAGGATTGCTCCAACATCCTACACCATTGAGAGATGGACTGCAGGTCTGCATCTGCAATTATCCACACAATGAGCTTCTGACTTCAGTCACTGAGGCCAGATACTTGTTTAATGCGACACTGGTCACACATCATAGGCACTTACTTTTCCTAATGAAAAATCTGCAAAACACAGTTCCTCCCGGGAATGTAAGTTTAAATTCCAATGCTCGGGAGTCCAAAAGGTTAAGTGCAACTTCCCTGAAATAAGTCCATTTAAGAAAAAACTGTTGCATTAATTGCTAGCAAAGGGATGCCTTTTTGTTTCAATTTAAAATCAGTGTATAGAGGGTTATACACTTGCATTTTTTATTGTTTTCTATTGATTATTTCTCCTCTTTGCTTCCCCCCTCCCACTCCACACATGACACTGTACTTTCCTAAAAGTTTACCATCGAGCAGTAATATTAGGTGTCAAAACAAATCACCGGGAAGTTTTGCCCCACATAAGGCACCTGTGGAATGCTGCATGTTAAATGATTACAGCTGGGAATTGTAATACAAATGCTGAATTTCTATTTTGCATCCCATTGCTTAGCCCATTCTTTCTCCACCCATGTCTCCAGCACTTTCAATACATCCACCCTCTTGTAAAATTTGCACAGGTCTATTAGCTGTGCTACAGTTCGCTCGCTGTTCCTCAGTAAGAACTCTAAAGTGGGGCTTTGCGGTTTCTGCTCCAGAAAGCACAGTTCATCATATGTCATGCCCCATTTGCTGGCAAAGTTCCTCCAGTTTTTGATTGTTGGATGGCAAGGATCCAGCTTTAGCCTTAGAGTGTACAGCAAATCTTCATCATTCATCAGGTCACCAATAAAAGGAGTTGGGATGGGGGTCGAAGATGAGGATGAATGCTTGCATGTGGTTACTGAACAAACTGTGCATCGGTTGCTCTTTATCATATCTGCAAACAAGAAGAGGATTACCTTTTAGTAACGAGCTAGTCGTTCACCCAACCTCCTTCTCCCCCCAACCCACCATTAGTCCCGTCTTTAACAATCAATGTTACATCTTCTTTGGTCAAAAGATAAAGTGCATTAGAAAAGCTCCAGCTAACAAGTGTTTAATGTCCAAAAGGCTTCTAAAATAAGGCAAAACATTACAACCGTTAGATTAAACCATTAGATTATTAGATTATGAAGTGTGTGGATAAGAAGCCTAAAAAGAGAAATAACTTATGTAAGGGTGGAGGTAGGCTTTTGAAACCTTCATCAAGGGCAATAAGAGTAACATTAAAAAAAACTTCATTAGATTAATAGTCCAATACTCTTCAAGTTACAGTAGGTGAGAATAATTAATTTCAAATTGGTTCATTGTGGGGAAAGTCAGTTGATGATAAATTTCTCTCCTTTTTTGGTTCTGTGCATCACCAAAGCCAAATTGCTGGAAGGCAACATGAAATGAAGTTTCTAAGAAAGAGAACAGCAGTGAAAGTTAAAGTGAATAATGCCGTCTGGTGTAAAAATTAGACGCATTCTTAAAATAGTTTGTCAAATCAAATTTTAAACATACCAGGGTTTGTTTCAGCCCCAACAGCAAATTATTTTACAGTCATATTTAGCAATCAGAGAGATGGCTTATTTTACCTTCTTCTGATAAACATTCTCCTTCAGCGTTCTGACTGTCATTCTCTTCAGGCTGCAAGTCAATTACAGTAGAATTCAACATTGTTCACTGTGTAGTGAGGACATGTGGTTTGCAGCCCACATTTGGAATTAGAAGAATATGGTACTATATATAAACCGCAGAATCAGTGAAGGAAGTCAAAGAATCATTGATGTATGGCTAAGCTGACATTCTCTCCATTTATTACGTAAGATCATAAAAATGTATCCATAATAAAGGAAGAGATGGTTGTTCATCACTAATGTATCAAAGGGTTTTACAATCAGAGTATTTGTTGTTCTTCATGTAACTTATGGTGGGAGTAAAATTCCTCTAACCATAAGAGCTGGTTAGTTTACTATTTTATTAACTTTGGGTGAATAATTTGTTTATTTTGGTGAATACCAAAAGGTCAAGGTATTTCAACAAACCTTCAACATGAGGAAAATTAATAATCCTGAAATAATCAGTCAACAAACCCTTACTTCAAGAAAATAATTAAAAAGTCTTTAGTGTCCAAGTCTTTGCAAATAGCCCCCTACACTTTGGATATATAAATATACAGATTATAATGTAAAGTACATCCCATTATAACACAATCGTTGAGAGGTGGGGGGGTGGTTTGGGGGGAGGGTCAATACAATCAAACTGCTTTATAAATGGGATACATTATAAAGCAACCACTAACTGTCATACAGTTGCCTGGGTCATTATTGGTGATGTGAAGCTCCACTAAGCCTGTGTGCTCTGAGCAGGAAGCCGTAGAACTCATTTCTGGAAGACCACGCATTCACAATGTGATATAGCAAGGATGGATTGGACCAAACCCATGTTGGGGAATCTGTGCAAAATCCAAGTAGTTTGTGGGACTTTGCTAGGGCAGATTAGCTACCCCTAATCCTGCATAATAGTTATCACTTTTCATTGTAACTTATTGCATGAAATACATTGACATTTTTACATGATGAGGCTCTTTATCAAATGCTAGTTAAATAACAAGCAAAATTGTGGACACTGGACACTGCCTCAAGCATCCTATTACATATTACATAAGGCGCTATATCAAATGCAAGGATTATTATTATTATATTATTATATGATGCTGTGCAAGTCCTCAAGGGCACAGAGTGAGGAAAATAAACACTAGCCACTCACAGTTAATTAAAAAAAAGTGAATATAATAAAGCATTTGACTGATTAATCTATTAGTTGAGAGAAGTACAGATATATTTACTTGAGAAGTGCTCCTGCAAATTTTTAAAAATATTAGATCTGCTGAAGAATGAATGCACTTTCATTGATGTCAATAGACATTCTGGCAAACCAGAGTGTTGCAAAGCCTTTGATAGCACACAGGAGATTTCCCATTGCTAACACTACCTCTTGTGAAGCAGGTATCAAACAAGGCTTCCTATGGACACAGACACAGGAGGGAGGGAATCAAGAGAAAAAGAGCAATGGAATATAAAGAGCATTCAACCTAACAATTAAACTGGACAATATGACAACCTTTAGATCATTTTTGAAGAGAATTAATTCAAAAGAAAGCAAATAAACTGGTTACTACCTGTGATGATGTTGTTTGAGGCTGTGCAGTCAATCGCTCCATATTAACAGCTGCCATATCCTGTGCTGGGAGAGCTAAACCACCTGTCAGCAATATCAATAGAGCTTTATTTAGTAAGTGTTGATAGAAAACAGTACTCAGTAACTATAAATATTTGGCATAAGTCCTCCCAACCTGAGATGAACTACTGTAAGGTTATGACTCCAAAAGAGAAATACCAGCAAAATAGATGGAAGTTGCTCATGAGCAAGTCCAGCAGGGGGATAAAATTATTGTGTATTGGCAGAGGGAGCACATTAGTACCACACTTTAGCAGGTCAGCTATTAATAAGTATTCGCTCCAAGATGCTAACCCGTGTGAAGGGCGCTATATAAATGCAAGTTGTTGTATATGACAATAGTGTGGATTGAATTGTCTTTCAATGGGTTTTATTCAAATGTAATTTTCGTCTTCCTGACACATCTCTTCTAAACTCAGAGTCTGATCTCTGCAAGCTGTAATTGTTACTGTCTGCCTGATTCAACCACACTGCTTACTACAAGATGGTTATACATACATTTAGTGCCTGTAGTTGTGTAGGGATGATTTCCTAATCTCTCCTCTCACAATGAGAGTTTGAGTGAAAGTATGTGTGCTCTCCCATGTAGCACGAAGAGCCAAAAAAAGGAAAGGATGGCCACATTGCCAGAAATCTGATAGGTACTCCATGTTGAGATCTCCAGATACAAGGAAAAAATGACAAAAACGTATTTTATTGTGTGCTCATCGAGGAGGAAGATGAAAGTGCTGGAGAATGGAGGTAATTTACATCTAGGCAGCATAAAACACTCACTGATCAGGTGGAGCACAAATCAAACACAGAATGAAGCTTGCTTGAGATGTTAAAAAAAACAAGTTTCTATCTGCCTGTTCAGGTGGACATTAAAAATCCCTATTCAAAAAGAGAAGGGAATTTCTCTTGGTGTTCTGGCCAAAAATCCAACAGACAAAGTGGTTATTCAGTTCCTCGCTGTTTGTGGGACTTTGTTGTGTGCAAATTGGCTGCCGAGTTCACCTCCAAATGAAGTTTACAGGATCTTTGAGACATTCTCAATGTTAGAGCCGCAATATTAAATGCAAGGATTATCTTTATTATTTTTAATCAGCCAACGTAGCTCACTGCCTTCTTTTCTGGTTCTGCTGCTGTTCGTTTGGTTACATGTTGACATCAGCAGTTCTGAACATTGGCAAAAGAACATTACATCCTCTCACTTCAGCCAACCCTTTTATTCTTGTTGAGGCAGAGGGAAATCAAGACTCCAAAACGGGTCTGGGATAATGTGGCACTAGGAAATTCAGCTGCTTTACCTTACAGGTTGCCAGTAGAAGCAGACAAACTTGTAAAAGTACTGTGAATCTTAACCTTAAGTTATCTGCGACATTTCTATTTCTGGCTTCCATTGACAATTTTGCAATGTTCTGCAACACAACACAAATAACTAGTGATTCATTACAATGCTGGTAGATAATGAATTGAGAATGAAACAAATTAAACATGGCCAGAGCTTTAGAAACAGCATGAATCCCATCAACTGGGCAATAGTGTGGTAGAGGAAAGAGAAAGAATCATTAATGAGCGGGTACTTAAGTCTCACTCTGTGCCATGTATCCAATCTTTTCTACTGACACTGTGCAAACATATTTTGGGACACAAAATAAGGAATCTCTTTACTGTTTTTAATACAATCACTACAAATAAGCAGCTTTCATTCTCAGCACAAATACAGTGCAATGTGTACTGCGCCAAAGCAAACCTGACAAGACATTACGTTAAGTGGAAATTCTGCTCAGTATACATTCTGGGGATAAGAGATGGATAAATACCTTTAGATGAACCACTGTGATCTGTAGCTTGAATGGGATATTTCTCTGGCTGTGGAAGTAGAACGATAAAGCAAATGAATACGTACATTTTTGTATTCAGTAGCTAAATCAAACAAATGAACCTCCACACAGAAAAACATGGGCCTTTGAGCAGAACAAATCAAGTAATTAGGCAAGTCCACATAAAAATAGGGACTGTTCTTTACCATCAACCATATATATCTGGTGTCAGTGAGTCAAGAACTGCTTGAGTTACATTTCCAAAAGATCATGACATCTCACATGTAAATATTCCTCGGTAGCAGCAATGAATAAAATGTTACGTTGAGGAAGATTTTTTAAAGAGTGGAGAGGGGGTGCAGGGAGGGGAAATGGTTTGCCAATTGCTAAGTGGGTAAAGGTACAGCCTGATGCATACAGACCAGAAAAAAAGTTGCAAGTTTGTAACCCAGTATGTGAGGTACTGACCTCAGATGGGACAAGCATTGGGTGTGGCTCTAATTATAGTTAGTGTCTTAAATCATAGAACAGTTCCAGTTGCAACCGCCTTAATAAGTATCAGGAAAGGTTTATATGAAGCATACCATTTCAGAATAAACACTAGGGTCTGTATCTTCAACTGCAATTCTGGCAAATTTTTCTGCTAAGAGAAAAAAACAGTTAATGGCTTATCAAAACAAAACACAGCTCATGAGATACTGTATTGCAATTGTAAATCAGTGCAAATGTTAACTGTGAAAGGCATCATAAAACGTGCTGTGGTATCAACGTGCATTACAGCATTAATGTGTTGTATCAAGAAAGCGACTGATTTTACTCGAGTCACTTTGGGAGGTATTTTTACGATAACCACTTCCCTGCAAAGATAGGAAGAAAACTGGTAGGACAGCATCACAGAGACTCTGCCACAATTTTTGTAGCGAGCTACAGGGTTTTATTGGTGACGGTGTGGATCCAATACATATCCATGGACTGGGGACAATGTATACAACACAATATAATACACATTTACATTGCGCCTTTCATGTCTGGAGGACGTCTCAAGCTTGACAGTCCTGGTATGGCACCTGAATTTAGGATGGGAGCCGAGGGGTTGGTTCACCCAAGAAGCTCTAAGGAAAGGAAAGGGGAATTTGGAAAAACAAACCAAAGTGATTAAGTTTGGGAGGAGGAACAAAGAAACCCTTTGTGCCTCAGATGTTCAGAACCTATGTGGGGTAGAAGAGCAAAGAGTTCTGGGGACTCAGATTAATCAGGCTCTAAAAGAAGCAAAAAAAGTGATTAAAGCCACAAAGTCTGGGCTTTTTGTCCAGAGGAAGATTCTATGTATATCTAAAAAAATTTAAACTCACTGGCTAATTGATTTGACTTGGAAATCAGTTCAGTTCCAGGTCATGAAAGCTGCTTATTATAGCTTGAGCTAGGTCACAGGTGTAAATCCTCAAGTAAGCAATACAAAAAAGACATATATATGTTGAAGACCAGTTGTCAGGATTACGCAATTAAAAACTCTCAATCCTGTGTGCTTTGTAAACGACACTGGTGCAATAGCTCCCTTCGATGGCTCAGTTAGTATAGGCACTGTGTGGAGTGAAACTGAGCCAGCCATTGATGCTCACAATGTTCCAGTTTCAAAGTTTTAGCGGATCTTAGTTGGGTGATTGCAAGGCCTTGAGCACCCTGGGCTGGGGAAGAAAAACAGTCAGATGGAGTACTGGATGGTTATCCAATCCCATTTCCCATCAGTCTTTGCCAAATTGGGATTTGAGATTCAAACTTCTGCAAATCTTGTAATCTGATATTTGATATTATATAGCTGAACTAAGACATAAATTACCTCAAAAGAAATACCATATTACAATCTTAATAATAATCTGTGTGTTTGATATGGCTCATCACGCTGTCAAGAAGTCTCAAAACGCTTCACAGGATATACTGTAAAGTAATGTGACTGTATTATGGGGGCAAATGGGGCAGCCAATTTGTGCGATGTAATGTTCAACAAACAGCCATGAAGTATATGACCAATTTTATTTGGGGGATTTTTGGCCAGGACATGAGGAGAAACTCGTTTTTATTTTCGAATAGTGTCATGGGATTTTTAACATTCACCAAGACAGACAGATGGGACTTTGCTTTAATGTTTCCTCCAAATGATGGTACCTCCAACAATTCAGCACACTCCCAAAACTTGAGCTCACAACCTTCTGATTCAGAGGCAAGAGTGCTACCAACTGAGCCAGACTGACACACATATTCTTAATTCCATTTAGAAACAGAAGAATTTACTTGAGGTCACACAGAAGGAGCTTGAAAAAAAAATTTGCTCTCTCCCCCCAAATCAGGACAATGCACCACTTTTTCAATTAAAAATAGTAAAACGGTTTAAATGATACTATTTGAGTGTGATATCCATGAAAACCTGAATTGTAAACATGGCAAGTTTTCAGACTTCTCGGACATGTAAAAGAGGAAACCCATGCAAGACCTCAGACTTGTGTGACCTTTGTGTCTGTAACAAATATCCATATGCGGAACAAACTTTTTTTTTCTCTTTTTCAAAGAATGTACCAGTCTGCCAAATTGTTTCACAAAATTGTTTTATAATCTTCATCCTGATTGATGATGTCCTGAGCTGACAGTTGCAGTGAAGAATTAAGCCTTCAGGGTAAGATATTTCAGAGTGCATTTAATACAGTACTCTATTTGCAACATTTCTGAAAATTATAATCACAGTAAAAATACCATTCAATATTAGTCATACCATTCAGACACGCGTTTATTTAAGCAAAAGAGCTGCAGCATCTTAGACTGCAACTCTGCAACAATACACAGTGAAGGACTCCGCCTTACATTCAATTAAGTTCTGTAATGCATCATGAGTATTTTTTTAAAAAAGTTGCTTATTCTTTTGCTACCAAATATAATGAAGTACAGATAAGCAGTTTATGCTGCGTTACTGATAGCTATTAAGCGTAAGATTACACAAGATAGGTTTGGTTTCTTTATGTAGGATAACCTCAGTGTGATTTAAAGGCGACGATTGTGCCCAAGAAGTCTTGCATTTTGAAGCTTGAGATGGCATTCCCATCACACAGGAAGGATATGACTAAGATTTGGCATGAGCTCAAGAGTACTGGAATTCTGATTCTGTGGACAATGTGTCATTCTTCTCTCTGCTGGATAAAGTGTAATCCTTGTGAGATTCAATTACAGTCATGTGTATGAGCACCAGAAGGAGCATCAGCAAGCTACTAGCACTGACCTGTCCAAGGACAATGAGACTCTGAAAGCCAAACCGGAACAAGTCAACGTTCAAACTTCCAAAATTGTCCGGTGATAGGCATGCAAACTAGGGGGTGTCCTGACATCCTACCAGCAAACCAAAAAGGAGCTCAAGACTTTTTTCCAAAAGGGGTCAAGTGTGTAGAAGGCAAAGTGCCTGGAGATGGAGTACCTCAGAGAAGTTCACAATGGAGCATCCAAGAGAATTGGAAATTCCAAATTGAGTGAGTTGGGAAAGGTCAGCTCACAAGACGGAAGCCCAGAAGGATCAACTGCTGGCGATCTTCATGGACAAGGAAAAGAATCTTGAGGACCTAAAAGCACAACTGTAGTTGATGACCAACTGGAAATGGAGAGGCCTAGACCAAGCTACAGGAGATGGAGAAGCAGGTAAAGAAGGTACACCTGTCATTGGACCTACAGCATTTAACATCCTAATTTTTTGTAAAAATTGAGTACAACAACAAGATTACATTTCTATAGTGCCTTTCACATCGAGAGGATATCCCAAGGCACTGGACAGTGTACAATATTTCAGACCCGAGCTGGGTCAGGGGGGAGAAGGGAGGGGAGGGGAAGGGGGGTGGCCAATGGCATGGTCGAAGAGGAGGGTCTTGAGGCAGCACTTGAAGGAGGCTAAGGAGGGGCCGAGGCAGAGTGACTGGGGGATGGAATTCCAGAGGTTGGGGGCAGAGTGGCTGAAGGCTCTCCCGCCAATGGTGGGGCCGGTGGGTCGGGGGACGTGGAGCAGGTTGGAGCCGGCTGAGCGGAGGGAGCGGGCGGGTTGGTAGGGCATTAGGAGGTCACAGAGGTAGAGTGGGGCGAGGCCATGGAGGGCTTTGTAGGTGAGGACCAGGATCTTGAACTGGATCCTCTGAAGGATTGGGAGCCAATGAAGTCGGGCGAATAAGTAGTACACGAATAAGAATTGCATCTCTTCTCCCCACCCCGCCCCCACCCCCCACTTTCCCACTGAGGCAATTTTAAACATTCATATCACCTATTATGATCCATTGAGCAAATGCCTTCTGCATTTCGAATAAAATCATAAAATCTTTTTGATTTAAAGCAATTCAAATTTAAATATATTATTTAATTATTCTAAGAGGAGCTGTAAAAATGTCCAGGGTAACTTGTGCATATTGGAACTTTCAGATCCTACGTCCCCAACCTCTAGAATCCCTTCCCCTTAACCCCTGTTTCACTCCCCTCTATTCACTTTCCCATCCCATCTTAAGACCTACCTCTCTAACTGCACCTACAGCGTTCTATCCCTTTCCCGCCTCTCCTTCCCCTTCTGTAATGTTTTCTGAGATGTTATCCTCTGCGGTGGATGCTATATAAATCCAATGCTATACAATTTGCTCATTATGGTTTATTTAATAACGATAATATTCCTTGCATTTGCCATAGCGCCTTACGCAATACAACTTGCGTTTGTATAACGTCTTTCACTTTGGAAGGACATGTCAAAGCTCTTACCATTTCAAAATATTTCAAAGTACTGTGAAATGTAATAACTGCATTTGTAGACGATCGTAGTAACCAATTTGTGCACAGCAATGTCCCACAAACCAGCATGAGCAACAACAATAACAACAACTTGCATTTATATAGCACTCTTCTCCCAGGGTCGTGTCCTGGAGCGCTTGGGACTGACTAATTGTATTTGCTGAATTGTTGGCTACGATACCGGGGGAAACTCCCTTCGCTTTTGAATAATATCATGGGGTCTTTAACGTCTACCTGACAAGCAGACAGGACCTTTGTTTTAAAAAATAACTCATCCAAAGTAAGGCAAGTCCGACAATAAAGCATTTTCCCAGCACTGAATTGGAATGTGAGCCTAGACTATGAGCTCAAAGATACAATATAGGGCAACATTGAAAGCACAATCTTTTGACAAAGCAAGAGTACTATCAGCTTAGCCAGGCTTTTGGCAACAATTCAATAAACCTGTGTTTATTCTCTTTGTTAGGCAGTGAGTGGCTCATAACAAACTTAAGATGAAAGCTAAAAATCTGAGGTAAACAGGTATTTCACAAACAGTATCCTGGAATGTTTCCAGTTTCATGATAAACCAAGATATGAAGACACGCCCAAAGAGCGGAAATGGATGCTGAGCAAGTGATGTCATGTCACAGATGTGTCAATTCCACTTACTCAACCTCCTTACAGCCACTATTTACAATTCAGTTTGCGTGGTTTAAACAAAAAGACTACAGCGATAACCAAAAATTATCAGTTTTGGTTATCGCTGTAGTCTTTTTGTTTAAATGACTCTCGCAGGGACAATATTCTGTCATCATTTCAACAGTCTCTAAATGTACCCCATTATTTAGAGAATTTGTAACA